AGCCTATAAATACCCATCATTGTCTTCATTTCAAAACACACCAAGTTCAGAAATCTTCTTCTCTTCTTCTGAATTTCTTCTTCTAATTCTTCTTTGTTCGGTTCAGCCACTGGTTTGGGTTCAACCTAAACTGGTTTGGATTGGGTTCGAACCTTGGTTTCCAAGTTTCGGTTCAATCTTGGTTTCCAAGTTTCGGTTCAATCTTGGTCTCCGAGTTAGGGTTCAATCTTGGTCTCCGAGTCTGAGTTCAACAGAGAGTACTACACCGAGCCGGTTCGCCTATTCCATTGGTTTGAAGTGCTACTACCAAAGGAAGAAAAGTCGTTGTATCTTGGGAGATAGACGCCGAAGAGTCCGTTAGTACCGTAGCGGGGCGTATCTGTCTTAAAGCTATAGAATTAAATTCTAGTCTCGACTTTATCAGGTTCTTTTATAGTTTTATTTTCTTGATATTAAACTATATAAATATATATATAGATTATTATATTATTTACAAATAATATTTAAATAAATTATACTATAGTATATGACACATAATTTTATCAACACTCTTGTCAAAATTTCACCCATTTACATATTCTTTTTGGATTATATATACAAGCCCATCTTGTTAATTTGCAAAAAAAAAAAAAAAAAAATAGAAATAAAAATTCCCGTAAATAAAAATTTAAAAGCAAGCTAGAAAACTATCAAAGGGCATGGGGCCTCCCCATGGGCCTACAAGAAAAATAGCCTGAAGCCCAAAAGTGTGAAACAAGAGTATTTAAACAAGGTCCCCCAACCAAAAGCTTACCAGGCCCAACCATTGCATTGATTTTGAGAATGAATAAGTGTTGTAAATGCAATACTTGATCATCGACTTAGATCACTTCGGCCCGAGTCCTCCTGGCTCGGATATTAGAGGAATTTTAACATGGCCCGGGGAGCGAGACTGTATGATCCCGGTCAATCACTACACAAGTAAATATGTTCGTTTCATTTAAATTTCTGCTTGCGTATCGAGAGGTCTGATCGGCCAAAATCATGTAATTTTGAATTTTGTAAAAATTTCTTAGGTTTTGATTATATGTAACTCTCAGGATTTCATGATAGGGATTTTTGATGTGTCAACTTACAATGCCTAACACGTTTGAATCCTAAATATTGGGATTTTGGAAATAAAAAATAAAAACTAAAACATATGTCTTTTTTTTTTTTTTTTCTTCAGAATATATATGTATTATATTTATGTTGAAAAAAACATATGCTTTATATATATATATATATGTTATGTTCCATATGTGCATGAATAATAATAGTAATTTTTTTGCAAATATCTAGAGTCTTTTATTTTTAAAAAATAAAATAAGATTGTTGCAAATTCTTAGATTGCTTATTTCTCTCTGGATATGGTGGCTTGTTACATAAATCTTAAATTTCCGGAATCCTTGTTGTAAGGGCATTTTGGTCCAAATATTTCCTCTTTTACCATCAGATAGTTGGAAGGGGGGTTTGATAAAAAAAAAAAAAGGATTAATTCCACTTACACCCCCTGATGTTTGCCTATATTCCACACACACCCCATTTACGTTTCATAATTTCACCTACACCCCCTGTTAGTAACCACCGTCAAACTTACCAACGGAAATATGTAATTTTATCGTTTTACCCTTGAATTATATATTAAAATTTATAACTGAAAGAAAAAGACTTTAATACCCTTAACACCAGTATATATATAAATATATACACACTATATTATATATATATATATATATATATATATACATTTTTCTTTTTTCTTTTTTTTTTTTCCCCCTTTCTTCTTCATTGTTGCCTGCAACGAAGCTTTGTCGGATTGAATTGAGCTTCATCGGACTTGGGATCGTCGAACTGAACTGGGTCTAGATTGCTGGGAACTTTGCCGCCGTCGTCTTTGATCCGGCTTACCTCGTTCTTGTCCAGCGGTACGACGGTGTCTACACGGCTGTAGATTCGATGGCGTTGAAGACCGACGTTTGGACTACACTAAGGATTCCTCCTTTTTCAGTTCGACGAGCAGTGATTCAGTCATACGAAACCCAGTTCAGCGATTCAGTCGTTCTCAAAGCTAGAACGAACTAAGTTCGACCAAACCCAGTTCAGTCTGGCGAGCAGTGATTCCTTAACCCACCTCAGTGAAACCCAATTCAAAACGGCTATACACATGCCAGAGCTCTATATAAGAATTCGGCCTAGCTCTGTAATCCGAACCATCACCATCACAACCCTAAGAATCTAATTCCATTCCTGTGAAGAAAAACGAAGTGGATGTCTGCTCCTCCGTCGCCACCACTGTCGAAATGGACGTCGATGGCGAAGAATCGAAGGCGCACATGTTTGGATTGCCAGATTGTACCACTTTTACCTCTTTCTTTCTTTTTTTCTTCCTTTTTTTTTTTTTTTGTTTTTGTTTTTTTTTTTTTTTTGTCATAGTAGATGTAGGTTTGTCGCGTTGACTTTGTTTTATATATATATATATATATGAAGTTTTATGCTTTTTTTATTTTTATTTTTTATCTTCTCTGTCTGTCTCTCCTTTCATCTCTCTAGCATTGTTTCTCTCTCTAAAATCATTTGCAGAAGCCACAGTCCTTTCTGACTTTCTCCTCTCTCTCTCTAAGTAACGATGTTTGAAGATTATGTATCCTCAATGCCTTAAAAACAATAAGGTTTAGAAATAGAGACCCATTTTGTTCCGAAACAAATCATTTGATAAAATTGGAGACGATTTACGGACAATGGATGAGATTTACAATCAGCTCACAGATGACCATCAGTTCTACCTAAGCTACCGGCGAAAATAAGGAAGTCGGCGAGTGTGAAGTTTGCTTTTGGGAATTTAGAAGGTCCAAATTGGACGGCGACAATGAAAGAGGGGAAGGCTAAAGTGACGGAGGTGGACGACGAGGTTGATGCCAAGGCTGATGATTTCTTGTATACTTTAGTTAACAAATTAAGGGCAATTTTGTAATTGCGTATCAGTGAAGGAGGTTAAAGATGTCATTTCAGATATTAGAAGGGCAAAATTGACTTTCTAACAATTTGCTGATGCTGACATCAGCACACGCCGTGAATTGCTTAACGGTAGGGGGTAATTTGCCACACAAACCGAAACATCAAGGATGGTAGGTGGAATTATGAAACGTAGAGGGGGTATAAGTGGAATATGGGCAAACGTCGGGGGTGTAGGTGGAATTAACCCAAAAAAAAAAAAATAGTTCAGGGGTAATTGAAAAATGTCAATAAAAAAAAAATGAAAAAGATCATGATACTGTTTGATATATAATTGTACTATAAAATAAAATATAGAGAAAAAAAATGTAAATTCCCATATATAGGAGAGAAATAGAATGAGAGAATTGTTTCGAGGCTAAATCTTGCAAACCTTCAATATATATATTTTTAAAATTTTAAAATCTATTAAATGTATTTACAATTAAGTTCATGGCTTTTTTTATTGGATGGGCCATTGTGGAGGGAAAAATCCCCCTTTAATGAAGATCGTCCACATCATCACACTGTAAATTTATATTCTTTATATTACGAGGGCCCAATCCATATCAAGCCCGAATTGGAAAATCCCAATCCGGAACAAGCCCAAGCTGATTCTTCATTTCTATTAAGATCGCTGACATTTGTCTTTCAACCCATTATTCAAGCACAGCCAGTTCAAGATGCATACAGCCCAGGCTATATGAGAATAAACGAGTCTTGCCAATGAAGGATTCGTCATAGAAGGTAAATTATGTACAAGGAAGTTTTGTAAAAAGGAAAGTTTGGCATGGAAAGAAGTATAAAAGGAAACAACATTATAGGAAGGAAGATTGTATATGGAATGTATTGGAGGACAAGCAATGCAAAATCCTACCATAATTCCACCACCTTTTTGTATATAAATAGAAGCCTAGACCTCCAATAAAATCATCGAGCAATATACGCTTTTCTTTGAGTATGATAATTGTTTGTGTTAAATGCGTTGTATTTTTCTTTTTATTTCTTTTATTAGAGAGAAATTTTGCACCTACACTTTGGCGCCGTCTATGAGAAACGTATAGAAATATACTCTCACTTTTGTTTCAAATCATTTCTATTACTACGATCTGGAATGTCGAATGGAGGATCTACACCAGTGGCTAATCAACAGATGGAGTTGATGCAAAAGATACGAGAAGAATTCTTGCACTAGGTCGAAACGCTTCGTCAGGCGAATGAAGCCAGCGTAGGCTAGATTGCATTGCTTCAACAGCAAAACGACACCCTTCAAACGACGATGGCTCAGTTAACACCACAGCTACCACTAGTTGATGCAACTGCACCTCCTCCCAACCAAAACGTTCCTCCAGTTAATAAGCCTTAAGCCAATGGGGCACATCCCAGTGAAGCTCGGCCTAATGAAGTTCAGCAAGAACAGAGGACAAGGACTGAGGCAGTTGCCTCGAAAAATCTTCCTCGTCGTACGCAGGATGAACAGGCCGAGTCCAACCGTAAGCTTACGGTATGGTTTAATGGCATTCCAGATAGCGCAGGCGTACAGGAGGCCTTTAAAGAAAAAAAAAAAACTGAGGATTCAGACACCCGTCGAGATAGCCAGAGAGCATAAGAACTCTCTAGTGAAGACTGCGTTCACCGATGATATATACCTTGTTGATAGACCTAAGAAATTCACTATGCCTTCCTTTACTCAGTTCAATTGTACGGGAGATCCTTCTCGTCACCTCGATTACTATGCACAAAAGATGGCTCTGAACGTTCACAACGATCCAATCATGTGTAAGGTTTTTCCGACTAGCCTAACAGGAGCTGCATTGGAGTGGTTCAGGAATAGGCCACACAAATCCATCCCGGACTACGAAACTCTATGCACCATGTTCCTAGCACAGTATTGCGAAAACAGGAAGCAAAAGAAGAGTATCGCTAGCCTCTTCGCCATAAGGCAAAAGAAATGAGAAACGTTACAGGATTTCTTGTCCAGATTTAACATGGAGGCCTCGGAAATAGTAGATTGCCATCTTGCGACTGCAATCGAAACGTTCAAACTTGCAATGATTCAGAGCACCAAATTCCATACCTCCCTAGTCAAATATTCCCCGCCGGATATGCAAACTCTCAATGCTAGGGCACAGATCTACATCCGACTTGAGGAGAATGTAGCCCACCGAGCGCAACATGCCACCCTCGTCACAGTGGAGAATAAGCCTCGGGAAAAAGTTTCAAATTCAAAAAGCCAAAAAAGCCAGCATGCCTCAGCCCCAGTCGCTCAGGCACCTGAGAAGAGGCAGAAGATAGAGGAAAGGTTCACACCTCTTCACACCACCTTGGCTCGGTTATTCCAAGAAAATAAGATGAGATTTGTAGCCCCTCATCCAATGAGGTAACCCTTGAAGTAGAGGGACAAGAGCAAGCACTGCGCCTGCCATAAAGACTATGGGCATGCAACCAATAATTGCAGATCCCTTAGGCGACAAGTGGAGAACATGATAATCAAGGGTGAGTTAGCAGAATACCTTACAACAAAGGCATACGTGAAGCCTCGGGAGATCAATCCTCAGAAAATGGAAGGTAATCAAGTAAAGGTCATCCATGCAAGACATGGGAGATCAGAGGACGACCAAGAGTCGGAAGAAGTATATAGATCCAGACTGAGGGCAGCCTATAAGTTAAGGAAGTTATCCTCGGTGAACACTATCACTTCGGGCAGTATCAGTATTAGGTTCAGCGATGGAGATTTATCCAGAGTTCAACTCCCCCACGAGGATCCACTAGTCATCAGCCTTCTGGTGGCAAATTGCATGATCAAAAGGGTTTTGATAGACCCAGGTAATAGCTCCAATATTATCACAAAGGCGGTCTTTGAGCAGCTGGAAATCCCGTCATCATCAATTCAGCCCACTTCCAGTCCCTTGATGGGGTTTGATGGCATAAAGGTGGACCCCCTTGGGGTGATTGATTTATCAGTTACCGTGGCAAAGAGGACACTGAAGGAGAACTTTGTTCTAACGGAGATTCATCCTCTTTATAATCTCATTATGGGAAGAGGCTGGATCCACCGAATGAATGGGGTTCCATCTACCCTTCATCAAGTGATGCGATGTTTATCTCTGGACGGTAAGAAGGTTATTAATCTTTGGGGAGATTAGGTCGCTGCCAAAGAATGCTACATGTTGACACAGAATGAGGCAAAAAAGATAGTTAAGCAGTCCCAACCAATTGCGACTCCTGGGGTATGTCCAAATAGCAATTACAGAGCCCTCTGTCTAAGTACCTGAAAGCGGAGGATGAAGCTGAAGCTACAAAGCCTACAGAGGAATCCCTTGAGGCTGTTGAATTTATCCTCGGCAACCCCCAGAAAATCACCTACATGGGCTCCTCCCCCACAGCAGAAGAGAAAAAAGCGTTAGTTACTGTCATTCGACGGAACGCCGAGGCGTTTGCCTGAGATTATTCAGATATGGTAGGAATCAATCCTTCAATCTCATGCCACAGCTTGAAGGTGGATCCGGCATTCAAGCTAGTTAAGCAAAGACACAGAAGGTTCACTCCTGAGCACAATCGAATCATTGCTAAAGAAGTGAACAAACTCCTTCAAGTAGGCTTCATCCGAGAAGTACACTATCCATAATGACTCTCGAATGTGGTGGTAGTTCAGAAGAAGAATGAAAAATGGAGAGTGTGTATAGATTTTACCAATCTCAATAAGGCTTGCCCTAAGGATAGCTTTCCGCTACCCAAGATAGACCAGATGGTCGACGCTACCACTGGTTATAAGAGACTCACATTCCTCGATGAGTATTCTGAGTATAACCAGATCCCTATGAATCCAGAGGATGAAGAGAAAACCGCTTCCATAACAGAGAAAGGCACTTACTATTACAGAGTCATGTCCTTCGGACTCAAGAATACTGGGGCGACTTACCAGCATCTCGTTAACAAGATCTTCAACTAGATGTTGGGAAAGACGGTCGAGGCCTACATCGATGACATGGTGGTTAAAAGTGTGAAAAATGAGGATCATCCCAAGTACCTCCAGAAAGTATTTGACACTTTGAGAAAGTATAACATGAAGTTGAATCCTTCTAAGTGTTCCTTTGTAGTCTCTTCAGGGCAGTTCCTCGGCCATACTGTCAATAAGAGAGGAATAGAGGTAAGCCCGGCTCAAGCTCAGGCCCTTATACCAAATCAGGAACCAAAAACTCGCAGGGAAGTACAGGTTCTGACTGGCTGAATCGCACCTCTCAGCTGCTTTATCTCTCGGTTATCAGACAACTGCAAACCGTTCTTTGATGCAATAAGATCCAAGAACAAGGATGTATGGGGACCTCAACAATAAGTGGCTCTCAATCAATTGAAGTACTACATGGCTGAACCTCCAATTCTGTCTGCTTCGAAGCCTGGTGAGACTCTCATTATGTACTTAGCAATCTCCGGCATAGCCACAAGTGCAGTACTGATCAGAGAAGAAGGGAAGAATCAGCATTCGGTTTTCTATACTAGTAAGACAATGAAAGATGCTGAGACACGATATAACAAAGTAGAGAAGATCATACTAGCTTTGGTGTATGCAAAGAGAAAGCTTCGACACTATTTTGAGTCACATAACATCGTAGTTCTAACCAACTTTCCCATGCGAGTTATTCTTTCCAAGCTAGACTTGTCCAGAAGAAAAACTAAGTGGGCAATCGAACTCAGTTCCTTCGATATATCTTATAAGCCAAAGGTGTCATACAAAGGATAGGCATTGGCTGACTTCCTCCTTGAGTATGAAGATAAGCCCGAGGAACCAAACCCTCCCAAACCATAATGGGAGCTTTGGGTAGAAGGTTTCTCGAACCTAACTAGTGCCGGGGCCGGAGTCGTTATCACAACCCCTGAAGGCACCAAGCTGTAACAATCAATCTATCTAACTCTTCCTACTACTAACAATGAAGTCGAGTATGAGGCCTTGCTCGCCAAGCTTTGCTAGTCCCTTAGCAAAACCAAAATGAATACTTCAATGAAAATACAAACATGGGCATGCTACCACAAAAATATCATCCATGGTGAAATGAAGTGCAAACAGAGCTCAAATACAATTTGAAACAGCAAAGAACTGGAGATGGGGTCATTGGGAAGACTACCTTGCATATATGAAGCATTGATACTAAAATTGGCTAAATACATTTCCACATGCATGCATCAACATTATCGTCCATGTAAATAACTCAATTGTCATCTCTTAAATGGAAATCAACTCTACTTCAGTGAAAGTGAATTGGATTCTCAACATGTGGCTTTTACTTTCTTTTCCAATTCCAAGGCACAAGTTTTCAAATCAATGAATTCCCCTTTACATGAAGTCCTTAAGGCATGATTTTATTTTCAAAACAACTTTTGTTGCCTGTTAACAATTTATTGTAACTCATAAGCGAAACATAGAATGGTTGTGCAATGCTAAAGTCCCTTAAGCTTTCTAACCAACCTATGTAGCAAGCGTTAGGCCAACAACTCCCAAACCAGATGGCTTTAGGGTGTTAAGTGTAGAGACACTCCAAAGGGCTTAATAGCTCAAGTTGGAAAGGTTACAAACTCTAGCAAACCATGTTTATTACAATTTTTTTGACTGACCGTGCAATGTTAAAGTCCTTTAAGCTTTCTAACCAACCCTTGTAGCAAGCGTTAGGCCAACAACTCCCAAACCATATGGCTTCAGGGTGTTAAGTGAAGAGACACTCTAAAGGGCTTAATAGCTCGAGTTGGAAAGGCTACGAACGTCAACTGGTCATTTTTTCTTTCTTTCTCAGTTTTTTTTTTTTTTTTTTAGACAACTTAAATCATGCCAAAGATATTCATCTATTAGGTTCATCAAATCAGATTAACTAGGCCAAGGTCAAGGTCGATTAAGTTGCATGCCTCACAGTTAAGTTTCCAATGTGCATCTGTGCATTGTGAAGCTTAAAAGAGTGTCAAATCCAGCAAGAATCTAATTGAGACATTTATACAGACTAATTTGAATCCACATGATCATTTCAACTCAAATTTTTCTTTATTTTCAAAAATGTCCATTGCTTTTATACACAAGGTATTAAACATATGCTTCATCTCCAACTAGTGTCAAGTTATACTATCATTGCTTAGCAAAAATGCAAAACCAAAAATGTATAAATGCACCCCCAAACTTGAATAACACAGTGTCCTCAATGTGTGAAGACAAGCATACCAAAATAAGAGCAAAGGGGGGAAAAGAACAATAATACCAAGTGGAGTGACGACGACGTAGATGTGCAGCCATGTGAGTGCGCAACAGCGTCCCCCAAACTTGGACAGGAAGACCTGTCAAAACACAACTACTATACACAAGTAAAAGCATAGGCTTTTAAGAAAAACAGTCACATATATATAGATTTTTTTTTTGGTTGGCATGAAGGCATGGCTCTGGTGGAGAGAGAGAAGGTTTGTGGGTGATGGTGAGGTGGTGTTGGAGTGAGGAAGATGAAGTATTGTGAGGTGGTGGGGTTGTGGTTGCGGCCGAGGTTGAGTGGGGGTTGCAGGGGTTGGTTTGGTTAGGGAGGGGTTGATGGGTTGGAGTTTGGTGTCGGGCAAGATGGTTTGTTTTGAGGTTGGGAGATGGGAGTGGTGAGGGTTGCTAGGGCTCGGGGGTTTGTATGGTGGATGAGTTGGTAGATGCCGAGAGTGAGTTCGAGGGCTCGGGATTTGTGGGTTGAAGGCTTTTCGATCACTCGAATGGGATCTTCGAGTGCTCGAAGATCCGGCAGTGGGTGCAGCACTTGGAGGAGGGCAGCTGCGAGCACTCAACATGGAGCTGAGATTGCTCGAAATTGAGGCAGAGGGTTCGAAATTTTGGGTTGGAATTTTCAAGCACTCAACTGGACTTTGGAGTGCACGAAATTGGCATCAGTAGGTGCGGAAATGAAGTTGCACACCATGGAAATTGAATGGTTGCAATGTGAAGGTAGTGAGCTTGCATGGATGCATCGTGAGCTTGCATGATTGATGGTTCACATTTAGAGCACTCCAAATGGGAGCTAAAGTGCTCTAAATGAAGGCAGTAGCTTGGGATGAGATTGGTTCACATTTAGAGCACTCCAAATGGGAGCTAGAGTGCTCTAAATGAAGGCAGTAGCTTGGGATGAGATTGGTTCACATTTAGAGCACTCCAAATGGGAGCTAGAGCGCTCCAAACTTGGGCAGTGAGCATGCAAAATTGGTGTGGTAATTTGGAGCAATCTGAATGGGATTTGGAGGGCACAAAATTGGCTCAGTAGCTTGGAAATGAATTGGCACTTCGAGATTGAATGTTTCAGCCAACTTGAATGCATGGAAGATCTTGCATGGATAGATTTTGAGTGCATGGATGAAATGGATTGAAATTTTTGCATGGATGGAAATTTTTTTTTCAAACTTTGCACTGCACACAATGCATGTATGAGTTTAAGAAAATTTTCAAGCTTTTTACAACATGATGCAAAATGGATAGAATTCTCAAAAATGAAAATTTTAAGCATAGAGAATTTTTGAAAATTTGCATGTCAGTCCTAAATTCAAGCCATGCATGGAAAATTTGAAACTTAACACATTATTCCAATCCAATGCATGGATGGATTTTGAGAAAATTTTCAAGCCTTGGAACATCTCTTCAATGCATGGATGGGATTTGGTCTCTTCAAATGCATGGATGAATGTAGGAAATTTTTTTTTTAAACCTTGCACTTCATCACACAATGCATGAATTAAATTTCTAAAAATTTTTCTAGCACTTTGCAAATTCATTCCAATGTAATGCATGGATGGAAAATTTTGAAAACTTTTCAACTTCGTTCTAATGCATGGACAATTTTCAAACTTTTGAACTTCAATCCATTCTAATGCAAGGAGGGAAAATTGTCAAACTCACACTTCATTGCAATGCATGGAAAATTTAGAAAATATTTCAAACTGTGCAAAAAAAAATTTCAATGAGTGCATGGATGATTTCAAGAAGATTTCCCAACTTTTGCAACCTCACACAATGCATGGATGATTTTGAGGAAATTTTCAAGCTTTGGAACATCTCTTCAATGCATGAATGAGATTAAGGACATTTCAACAATGCATTGAAGATGAGAGGTTATGTATGTGAGTGCCATATCGAAAGTCCGAGAAAATTGTCTGATAGAGCCGGAAACTTCCGGGAATGAAAACAAAAGTTGAGAAGGTCTAAGAAGCCGGTCTAAAATTGTGGAACACAACTGAAGAGCATTCCAGAAAAATCAAATTTTTGGCTTTTCGAAACCATTTCCCGGAAAATTTCAAGGCTCAGGCAATTGAAAGGAGGGAAGCTTGGAACATCGAAAGAATTTCTTTCCTTGCTTTGCTAAATTTAATGTCGATAGCTAGACGAACCAGGATCGGGATCCATTGGAGAGATGGCTCCTTAACACTTCGTATGCAACTTGCCTTCTT